ATCCGCCGTCTCTGCAGAAATAAACAGTCACCTTTTCGTAATCATCTCATCAACCACAAAAATGAACATTCTCTTCAAGTTTTTCAACAGAATTTCAATCATCTTTATAAAATTAACGAATAATTAAATCTTTTGCCACCTTAAACAAAGTATTCATCCCAAAATTGATTGTTTCGTTTCCTCAACACTCACTTCTAGAAGTAAATGGCTGTTCTCTCACCTTTGTTATAATATCCATATCTTTCGCGAAAATTCGATTTCTTCTCATTACATCCTGAAATATTCCCATGCTCCAATTTAACTTTATGACAAACGAACTGAACCTATATAGCATTATATACCCAGCAAATATAAAACTGTACATATAATTGTCATTATTGTTTGCTTATATGCAGACACATCACATTTAATCAATTCATTATTCCAATGAATGAAATGTATTCGATAGCGATCATACCTCGTTCGGTGTTTCAAAATCGAAGCTTTTCTGTCGCGACAATCGTCCTGACCTTCTGCTGACTGCATCCTACAGATTACATTTTCGTTGTTTATCGTGTGCAAATTATTCCAACACTATTCTTTTATACACTCACATATTTATCATAATAACAATAATAATGCAAATGAGAACAATAATTAACGCGCATATAATCATAGATTAATTCAACGCAACTAACTTGTCTAAATGTTTCTGTAGAAGTGTCATAAGTGGATCGTGAAACAGTTGATGAATATTGATGCTCAGACTGAGACGTTGTTTCTTCTGGTTTTTCTGCTGCACATGAAAGATAAATTGAACGATTAATGCAATAGCAATAGAACATTAATGATTACCAATGTGCAATACTATTAATAACAAAAATAAGAATAAAATAATAACAATAATAATCAGAGTAATGCTAATTAAAAATTATGACCATAATAATATTGACAAACGAACTGAATTTAGCGACAAGAGGCGAGTGCCTTTTTGATAGTGTACTCAATGCTTCGGATGATTTGAACGGCGTAATTGGTGACACATCAAAAAATACTTCATCTTTGATTGAATCGATGGATGGTGAGTGCCGCTGTAATCGATTATGAGATTAGCAGACATCGCCTGACTGGCGCTCGATACACCACTCATTCGGTTTGGAGTGATTCCGATTACGGACGACGCGACTTTTGCTCGAAATCGATTTCAATTTCATTTTTAAAAACACAACAATACAAACGTCCTCACAATAAGATATTAAAAATCAAAAAAGAACGAGCTTTAAAGTGAAAATATACGAAAACAGAATTACACTCGCGCATTCTTTTCGAGTAATCTGCTTGCCATCATCTCCACGCCCCTCACTTTCAGGTTGTATGTCAATTTGCTCATTTACACTTTCGAATGAGCGAACGTTTGCGTTCTCATCGATATTTTCCTCTATGATTGGCACTTCAGGAATCACTTCAGTTGGCCCTTAAAAATATCTNTGTCGTCGTACACCGCCTCGTAAGGAACCTCTATTATTATCATCATTATCACCATATCCAACGATTACTATTATTATCATTATCATTATTATTATTACTATCATAATTACATTGATAAATAAATAAATGAATAAATTACTTCTGCACAATGGACGAAAATCTGTCCCATGCCATTTTTGCAACACTATCACGACGTTCCAATGGGGGTAACATTCGACTGACATGACTATCGACCGACCCACTTCTCGATAACTAAATTTAACCACTCAATCAGCATCATCACCATACTTAACTCAAACTCACAGAATACGAGTCCAGCACTAACACCTAACGATAACAAACAATAACAGTGCTCATTTACATGATATAACAGATTTCAATATAAACTTGTCAATAGATATAAAACAACACAAACTCAACAAGACTGATATCAACTTACGCTTTGCTGACGTAATGTTGGTGTGATATCAAAAAAGCCAATCGGAGTGATCGGTGTTGGGGTTGCTAATGGTGTTGCCAGCTGAGACGGACTTATATCTAGCAAATCATCTGTAAGTTTATTACTGTCACCTGAATAGCTCAATCACTTCAATACAGATTCACTCATGAAAAATACGCTTGCATTGTGCAAAAGAACCAAAGTAAGCAACTGATATGCCAATCGTGATAAAGCACAAACCAAAGTGATCTTCACCTCGCAAATCCAATTCCTTTCTGGCAGTTTCGTTGACCCCGCCATAACATCGATTCATATATCGTAAACGACGCAATTTCCAACGACTTCCTTCATTCGTATTCAGATTTGCATTACACGAGAGTGATTGTTGTTGATTATTGCTATCAGCCAATGGTACCCCGAAGAAACGAGCCGTATTGCTCACTGTTTCACGTATGCTAAAATCGTCTTTTATCACTACGCCAGTATTATCATTAAAATGTTTTTGATATATAACTCATTTTTAATCTTCTCCATTTTCAGTAACTAATAATGGTAACAAATAAATAAATAATACCTCTGCGCACGGACGAAAGGTGGTCGTTCTGAAGTGGTATTATCAGTTGTCGTACTCTGGAAGTTCTAAAAAACAGATTGGAAATAACGTCCGAATCGATTACCAACTCGATATTTCATTATGCCAATGTGGTGACAATAATTCTGATACAACAGTAACAGTAATAAATAAACAAATAAAATAACAATTATAATAGTAATGATCATGAAAACAATAAATGAAGAAGTGAACTTACTACATGGGGACGAACGTTGAATGAGCGATTGTATGATTCAGAGAAGGATCTAATGGCGGGTTTTGGATTTCTATTCACAGACGCAGACGACGTTAGAGGTATGGATGCCGATTGAGTATCTTTCTCGTCCATTTTCACTTCATTTCAGTTTCGTCTATGCGCTGAAGAGGATGAATGCTATCAAGCAATTACTCATTCATTTCACGAATCAACAACTCATCCTATTGCAACGTTTTCATCCAGTTAAATCATCCAACAACATCCTCTCATCGGTTCTGGTAATCCCAAGCAAATTCTAATCCGTTTAAATATGCACGCACATGAGTATAGATAACCATTAGATAACCCTAGATCACTACACAGAAGTTATCTTTAGGTTTGATTTTTGATAGAGCGACAACACTTTGAGTGAGCCAATTGTAATCAGACGATGCTCACTGATCGTGAGAC